TCTCAGAGCTGATACTAGATGCTGTGAGCTGGCAAAATCCTGATCACTATGGTCTTCGGCTTGGCCAGCGCCTTTGCTTGTCAAGATTAATTCTGAAGAATTTAATACTCGATAGACAAGAGCTCCACACCTTGGTAGACCCGTTTATGGCATGGCTGCACCTTACGCCATCGATGGACACACTACGTTTTCTTGACCTTGAAACTAGTTCTGTCTCTCCGGTCACTCTTGCAGATCTCCTTGCGCGGGTTAGCCCAAATATGGAGACATTGGTGCTGCCATTCCTCCACTACGACAACGGTTAGTAAGTTCCGATTGCGCATAGTATATTTGAACGATGACACATCTCCTACAGCCAAGAGATTTGTTGAATGCATAAAAGCTCAGGAGAACGTTTTGCCACATCTGACTCGGCTGGAAATTTCACTTCAATACGGGAAGGAAAAGGAAAACTGTCTGCCCGCATTGATTGCGTTTCTCGGCCATCTGTCGTGCAAAGACATCTCCCGGATCGACATTCGAGTCCGGCCATATGATTTTCGCGGTCGTCGGGTCGTCTTTCGTGATTGGCGTCTTCTTGACAAGGTGCTGGAGAAGGCGCATTTCAAGAATCTCAGCCAAGTCCACATCGACTGGCTTGGGAGTCGCAATGCTGTGGTTAACTCCTTCGATGGACTACTTAGCGAACAGTTCCCTGGTTTACAGGATCGTCACATTACCCCAATTTCTGGATACTCCGCCGAAACAGTCCAGCGCCAGTACCCGAACCTCGCCACAAGAGGCGACTCCTTGATCATGTCCTTCACCACAGTTTGCCTGTGGGGTGCAATTGCTTGTAGTGATGCCCTCCACGAGATGTCGATAGAAGAAATGCAACAGCACCTGGTGGCAAGGGGTCATTTGCCTAACTGGTCTAGTAAAAAAGCCCGATGCCAATGGCAAGTAGATGGCGCCTTGTGTAATAAAGAGGTGTTTTGTACCAGAATGGCGAAGCACATTAGCTCGGTACACTTCAGGAGACATACACCACAATGTCCTCTTTGTAACGAGCAGTTTGCCCAATACGACTACGACGCACTCAGTCAACACCTAAATGGATTCTGTTCTATGCGCCCATATCTATACTTCGCCAAGTACAAACGCTAAAATACCACGATATTATAAACAACATTCGTCAATTTCTTAGTACTTTCTGGTACGATGACACGTTCCGTACTCTGGCCCACTAATATACTAAAATGATCTACTTATAGTTATTCAATCATCCGAGCCCGAGCGCTCAGTTACCATCTCATTCTTTCGTATATGAACACTCGTCCTGCCACGATGGCTTGTCGACTTCAGTCGTTTATTTAGATGCACATCATTACGACGCATCTGCACTACGATCTGGATGCGTTTTCTCCTGGTCTGGATCATATTTACACTCGATATTTGTGTTCCCTTTGCGACCAGAAGTTCCACGAGATGCACTCCTTCAACTTGACAACACTTTACTACAGCCTGCCTTATCTGGCGCTCCCACCTCAAGTTAGAACTTCAATGACATATGTACGTGATCTGTCATCTAACATCGACATGTTGAACAATAAGTCTTGGAAGTCTCTTAGGCATGAACATGGGGCCAGGATCATGATACTATACTTGACATTCGTCCATCGCTCACACTCTCGCGCGCCATTTCTCAGGCTGGCCCACAGGCGGTCCGACTTTATATTCTGTTTCCTGGAAGTGTTTTTTTTCTAGTTCTTTTTCTTTGATCTTCTGAGCGCGAGCGCGAGCACTCGATCGCTGTATTTTCACGGTCCCATTCCTTTGTATGTATGCATTCGTCTGGCCACGAGAGCTTTTGAAGTTCAGTCATTCCTCTACAATGCGAGCTGTGATGCCAATTGCAACACCTCATTGTACATGCATACCAAGTGAAAATGCTGCCCTCCGTCAATTCTGTGCCTATGATTAGGCCTTCGCAGATAATGAAAGGAGTCGAAAAACATGCTGTGGATTTTGCCTCCGGGAAGGTATCTGGATTAACCAGGTATTAACCCACGAGAAGGCACAGAGTGAACGAGGGACATTGTGAATTGACTCGGGCTTAACCTGACCAATAAGACCACCTGGATCGCAAGCTTATCCGCATGCTCTAGATCTGGTGCATGCGCGAACGCAACCACCTAGTGCATTGACGCGGCTGATATTGTGCACGACCTAATAAGGCGATCGTGCGTGGGCCATTCCAGCCAGGCAATCTGATCAGAATAACCCTCATCCATGAAGTTTTGGACTGTGCGCACCAGAGCCCGCGAGCGGTGCACCCAGTCTTCTTCATGCTCACCGCCGCCATCCGCCCCCTGCGCATACTCCTATCGGCCAGTCGCCCTTCGTGCTCGACTTCTACTGGGACAGAATGCCTGTCTTACTCGAGCGTCCTGCAGCGCGTGTGCAGGGCGAAGGAGTTGATGATTGCGTATGTCAGCTCACTCCAGTTGGCAGTCACTGCCGGACGTCGAGCAGAGCGGCATCGAGTCGAATCCGTCCTCCAGTGAATGCCGGCGTGTGCAACAAATGGCCGTAAGAGGATCACGATGTCAAGTACTTGCTTGCGCATACATGTTTCCCGTGTGAGCGATACGCATCCAGTAGCAAATTCTACGATCTGCAGTCTGTACATGTGGGAGCTGAGGCTAGCGGCTCTGAGAGGAACGATCTGTGAGGATGTCGACGCGATCACTCAGCACTCAGTACTCAGTACTCAACGTCAGGACGAGGTGGCGGGAGGAGTGTGCTCATTGGCGGTTTGTGGCTGTGGCTCGATGCGAGTCGTTGAGTTTCTCAACGAGTCCAATTGGACCTGGCTTTGTAATTCATTTTCTGCCTCCATTAATTACTCATCTGGCCTTGAGAGAAGGACGAGGGCGAGGCGAGTCGCAGGTCGCTTTAGAATGCGCAACCCCAGCTGATGGCTGACACCAGATCTGCCTCCTTTTCCGGCTCCGCCTTCGGCCATCGCCGCCCGACTTCCTCGCTGACCCTCCTCACCCCATTTCGCGCTTCGACCTCGCTGCACGGTGCCAGCATCGTTCGTTCCGGAATGCATTGTGCTTGGAATCGTCCTCATCCTCCGCTGATGTCCCTGCCCATCAGCACCACTATACGTTGGCATGCCTCTGATATTCCATGTCTCGGGCGTTGCAGTGCCCTACTCCGATCTGCCTCCGCGCACCACATATCCGCTCGATCACACCGTCGTGGCGTCGATTGCCATCCGCATCTGAAACAAATCTCCCTGAGCATTCTCTGTGGCAAGTGGATGACTGTTTGACAATATCAGGCTCGCAACACGTAGTGCCGTCGGGAGCCACCAAGCCAGTGCAACACTGCTGTACACATGCACATATGCACTGGCTGCCACATCATGAAACCGGCCGCGCCGTACTTGCGGAGCTTGCCACCGCCGGACAGACCACAGCGACCTGACAGGGAAGCTCGCACCATAACGAGCACCTGCCTGATCAAAACAAGAGCTTCTCGTTCAGTACAGGGTGGCTTCTAGCTGCCTCTGGGTGCATCTCGTATCTCCCCTGACGATCGTAATGGAAACGTTGCTCAGCCTTATGGCACGGTAGATGCTTTGGCGACGAAGACGGCAGACGGTGGACGTAGGACGACTAACGTGATGACAAGGGTTGCAGGCGACAGAGACAAGCTCGGACAATACACAGAGGAGAGAGTCCAACACCTGAGGAGAAGCTGTGGTTCGAGAACAGCATCGAAACCAAACTAGACTTGAGAACCGAAAACAGCAAGGGACCTGCATCAGACGCTCTGAAAGCTGCGTCATCAGCGCGGACGTCATCGGCGAGTCGTCACGGTTGATGCTCTCCCGGAATCGAGCAATAAATCCTGAACGCACAACAAGGATTCTGGGACCCTGCGTGCGAAGACGGGGCCCGGGGCCCGCGACATACTGAGCGGTTCTTCTTCTTCTTCCTTCTCTTCCCTTGCTATCTCCCCGTCTTCCCTGCTGTCTGCATGTCCTTCCTCGCGACGAGGGGACGCCGGCTCTTAGGGTACTGTGTTCGGAACCTGGTTCCGCCACACGCGAAGACGCAAATGCATACGTGCCCCGCCCGCCTGCATGCGTGCGTGCGCACGTCGGCTGTCCCGTGTCTGCCCCGTCCTATGCGTCTACGTCCCCGGCTCCTCTCCTGTCCGGCTCGCGATCGCGCGCGCGCATCCCGGGACGTCCACTGCAACATCCCAGGCAGTTCTTGGCTTAATTGGCGGTCACGGTGCCACCGCAACAGCGCTTGCACGTGGATCTAACGCGGCACACGGACGGTCCTGGATGAGTGGCCTCGGTGAGGGACGAGCCAGCGCTCGGGGGCCTGCGCCGTGTGCCGTCCTGCGAGCCGACCGCACCCCAGAGACGTGGGCGGGCTTGCCTCTTCCCCTCCCAGCTAGAACCCGATGTGCGGTCTACCCCGCGCCATCCCGGACCCCCTGGGCAGACCGGCGGTCGCTGGTGACAACACAGCCCGAAAGTGGGTGGCCCGCACCGTCGTCGGCCGCCTATCGGATGGAAGCCAGGTACGATAGAGTCCGGTGGTGTGCGGTCCCCTCAGATCCATCTGCATCACGGTGTGCGCGCATGATAGATCTCCTCCAGAGGCCGGGGGGAGGCTGGCGCCGCGCGCTCTGGAGGAAGACGAGCTGTGATGTAGCTAGAAGCGCATCGGACGGTGTGGGTGCGGATGACGCCGACGAGGGCGGGTGAGAGAGCCGGACGACGCGCACGGATGTAGCGCCGAGCAACTAGGGAGAAGAGGCTGCTCGCGCCGAGATCCCCGCTGGAGGGTGTAGCCCCACTCAAGTACTCAATGGCGAAGACGGGCGGGCGGCCCGAGTGGACGGAGGACAAATTAAATGCAAGGCGGTCAGTTCGGGAAGGCGAAGCGGATGCACGTTGCATTGCGTTGCATTGCGTGGGTGTCGGACGTCGTCACAAGGCGGGCCTCGGACGACGACCGAGCGACGGGGTGCCTGCAGGGTCTCTCGATCACACCCGTCACGCCACGATCGCGTGCGATTCCTGTCCGGACCCTATACACACAGTGCACGTCAGCACTCACGACTCACCCGCCTGTCCGCTGTCGCCCTCTACATTCCACGCAAACTCCAACTGCACCCTCACGCGGTGTTGGTGGGGGCTACCAGCGCGCCTCCTCCGCCAATTCCGAATTCAGGGCCCTCGTTCTGGCGTCCAGAAGAGGACGCGTGACGAGCCTCGTCTGGCAGCTGACATCGGTGCAGTATACGTCGACAGTGTGCCAGACGGCTTGATGATCTGTCTTCCCTGCTAGTGGATCAAATATTGACGTCAGCAGACCCGGTCAAGCCACGGCCGCCTGTGTGCGGAGGGCATCCGTGTCGTGGCCGACGGAGGTGCGCCATTCCGCACTGCACCCAGATCGCGCCCAGTGGCGTCAGACACAGCTGCGTGCCATGATCGCACAACTCCCTCGCGCGCTCAGCCGTGCACCGTGCCCTAGGCTGCCGATGTGCTGCGTCTGACGCAGTCCTGTCGGTCGATGCGGCTGCTGTTGCGCGTGCGATCCGGGGTGATCGTCTGTCCATGGAAGACGAACGTACCTGGTTGGGCTAAACCCGGTGCCATTCACTGGCACTTGTCCATGATTGAATTCACCCACCCTCGTTCAGTCAGCCCGGAGCTACGGTCTCACTCACCGGCGGCCCACAACGGCAAATGCCATCCCACCCCATCTTCGCCGCCACACACTCAGCGAAACCTATCGCGTACTCCCTTCCCGCCGCACCCTTCCTCCTCTTGTGCTCGACTCCGCATCCGGATGACTCTTCATCAGGCGGAGGCCTACCGATCACGTCATGCCTCCTCGGAGTCGGAGAGGGCTGCGCCGTCTGCACATCTCCCCACGCACGATTCCGCTGCCGCCGCGCCAAGCTTCAACATCCGTCTGGTGAGGCAGCGTCTTGGAGGAGGCCAGACTCCACGCACGGACTAGCAGTGTCGTTGCCAAGGCAGATTCGCCCTGTCGCACGATGCACCCAGATTCTCACCAAGCTCATCATGGTCCTGTGTTGAGCTCAGCCGAGACAGAGAGCTTCGGCGCATGTCCGGTTGACGACCACGGATATCAGCCCGCCCCGGTCACGCTCAGACGTCCTGACGCGCGCCGAGTCAGACCCACGTGCGGATGCTGCTGGGCGCCACCGTGTCTGCCAGGGGAGCCAAGCGCGCTGCGTGGGCTGCCGCAGTGGGGGGCCGCGAGGAAAGGGCGCGCGATTGCGAGCCGGACAAGATATGAGCCTGAATGGTGGCGACGCCTGCAGAGTGCGAGGAAGGAAGACACACTCGGCTTGCGTCGAGGGCGCAGGGGAGCATGAGACTGGTCGCAGAGGACAGTGCGCGCGCACCTCGCCGTGTTCCGCGCGCACGCATGCTGGCGAGCGGGGCACGTATGCATGCACGTCTTCGCGCGTCGCAGAACGGGGCTCTGGCGCCTCGTCGCCAGAGAGACCAGCGAGGAGCGAGGACAGCGGGGAAGACGGGGAGAAAGGAAGGGAAGAGAAGGAAAAAATAACCGCTCAGTGCGCCGCTGGACTCGTCTTCCCGCGCAGGGCCCAAGGATCCTTATCGTGGGGAGACAGCAGGGAATAAATGAGATAGAGCCGCATAGCGCGCAGGTGAAGACGGCGCCGTGCGTGATACACCTGCATTCATCTCGGGGGCCCGGTACTTGGTTGAGCGCAAGCGGACAGCTAGAAGTTGGGATCTTGACTAACAAATGTGGTCAGACGGCCAGATCATGTGCGCGCTTGGTGCTGTTGGGCCAGACGCGGTGCGTGCTATGGGAAGGTTGGGTACCGCGAGAGACCGTCGCGGGGGAGCTCTCGGTGTGGTGAATGGGGAGTCTGAGACATTGTCGATGACTGTACCGCAGCCCGTTGGTTTGATCCCATGCGGGCGAGGACCACATGATGCAGTGGCAGCCGGTGCGTATGTGGGCACAACAGTGTTGCACTGGCTTGGTGGCTCCCGATGGTACTACATGTTGCGAGCCTGGTATTGTGGAATAGTCATCCACTTGCAGAGGTACTGGACATTTGTTTCAGATATGGACGGCAATCGACGCCACGACGGTGTGATCGAGTGGATATGTGGTGCGCGGAGGCAGATCAGAGTAGGGGCGCTGCGATCGTCTCTGCACTCATCACACGAAGTCGAGCACTTTTGATATCACTCCTGCACAGGCCGTCCCGAGTTTCGTTCTAGGGCGGTCGGTCAGTACAGCGAGCCCTGATGCTGAGCCCTGATGCCCCACATTGAGTCGGACACGGGCACTTGCTCTTTGCATTTTTAATCTCTAATATTCCAAGTTTCTCCTCCACACCGTAGGATTCGCGCAGAGTGACCACATCTATATAACGGCCAAGTCACAACAAAGTTCGTGAGCAAAAGATGAGATCGATTCGAGACAGAAAGATACAAGCAAAGGTTGCCGTAGACTGGCATTGACTCGACGAGGGAGAGACTGCCTCGCGAGCCCTAGCCAAGTACAAATACATTAGATATGAGTAAGCGATGACGAACACTAGCACGAGACATTAGGGAAGTTCAAAGTTGACGCAGCTGGGCTCGCAGAAAGTTCTGCG